ATGAGTTTTTAAAAATGCATGTTTTTAATTTTAGTTATCTGTGGGTGTGGAGGTAACAGTTCTCAATTTTACAGATAAACCATCTCTACAGCTCTCTGTGTGTGTGTTGCATGTTTAATCTTTGTTTTTAGAATATCAGCAAGCAGTATGTAACCTCACAGGGAGGAAGTCAGACAGGGTGGGGAACATTACTACATTTGTGGAAAGTTATGAGTGAGAAAGGATCATGTTACTAAATCACATTTCCTAGCAGGGTGTTGATAAGTGCAATTAGTTCTCTTTCCAGCACTTAGCCAAACCAAACCAAACGAAACCAACTTAACACACCTTTGTCAATTGAAGTTACTAAGAAAATGTGTAGAATTGGGCTTTCTGATCTCTGAATCAAGTTTCAGGTTGGAGTTAAATAAGATGCCCAGCACAGGTGTGCCATTATGGAGATTTCATTCAAATCTATCCCACTGAAGTTTTATTTACATTTATCTTTTATCTGATAGCAAATGATATGAAGAATAGGAAAACTATTGAAATGAATTATCTAATTGTTATAGATTGAAAAGAACTGAGTAAATGTTGCCATTTCGAAAGCTCTGTGTTAACCATCATAGTTAGTCTTACTATGCTTCTTCATTGATCAGATTTTTGCAGAAATATCTTGCAGGGGAATCTTTGGATGTCTTTGGTTTATAGTAGATATTATGGAAGAAGACATGAACTTCAATGAATGGGATAATGCTACAAATGGATAAAGATTCCCCCCCCCCCGAGTTTGAAAGGGAGTTAAAGGGTATGTCAAGATGATTGTATGGCTTAATTTATAGTTTTTGCGTGCTTAAAATTAATATTTTAATTTTTAAGATGGCTATTTAGTTTCGGGATTTGAAAAGTAGTGGTTAGTGGGCAATTGAACGGCTACAAAAAAAGGAAGGTTTCAGAGACTGGTATAGTCTTGGGCTGCAGATTGTTCTTTCCTGTCATAGGGTCACAGAAATTGAAGGAATCTCAAGGATAATGTAATGCAGGATTTTACTTCTCTAGCTCTTTTCTTTTTTCTTTTCTTTTTTCTTTTCTTCTAGCTAAACTCTGAAGACTTTAAAGGCTTATTTGCAGCTAAGCAGCAGTACCTAGCCATTTGAGTTATTTGTATTTTTGATGTAAGTAAAAAAAGTTCAATCTTTACAGCGGCACAGATAGCCTATGCGCAGAAGTGGAAAGAGAAAGATACCCCAAATGAAGAAATTCAAACTAAAAATTTTCAACTGCGCAGAAATGGATAGACTCACCTTGGAACTCAAGGATAAAAGTGAAACATTGTACTATAAAATCTGGGCAAAATTCTATGAATGATTAGGTAAAAGGAGGATAGCCGAGACAAATGTTAGACTAGAATTATATACATTATTATAGATAAATATGTATGTGAATTGTATAGATAGGTATATGTAGGTATAGATATGTATAATTGTATAGAAATAAGGTATACATGATTAATATTATACTATGTTTAAATAACGTAGAAGGTGTAAGGAATATATTATTATATCATCATTAGTATATTATGTATTAACTTAAAGTGCTGGAAGATGCTTGAGGCCAGTGATGTCATATCTATGTCCAATGTTTTTAATTTTGAATTACTAATAAAAAAAATTTTTTGAAAAAAAAGAAAAGGTCAATCCTTGCCAGGTTAAAAAATAATAACATGATGAAAAAAATGTACCTCAGTATGCTGCCAATTGATGTAGATCAGACCAGTCTAAATAGAAAACATGCTGAATTATTTTACCATATAATATTACTCTGAACTTTCTAGCTAGCGTGCAGCAGCTATTCTGTCAACAGGCACACTTTTCAAGGCTTTTGTTTTAATAAGTGAATCCTGAATCTAGTCCAAAACATACATATTATTTGTAGGCAGGGTTTGAAGAGGAATAAGAAAAGGATTGCATTTACTGGTATTCACTGATCTACTCATTGGTTTCTCTCTGTATGTCTGGATTATGTCATATCTTTGTGTGTACGTTTGATAACAACTTGTGTTCACTGGGTTCTGGAAAAATGCATTAAAATAGGAATATGGATCCTAATCCTCAGCATTCAGTAGCATTTGCACAATCCTAATCTTTGATTTAGAGACAAAACTATTATATTCAGGTGACATCACTTGAACTGGTTTTCTCTTGTTATTTGCCAAGCTTCTGTTTCTGAAGGCTTGTGACATTAAAATCTACTACAGTTATTTTTCATTGTATTTTGGGAGAATAAAAGGTCATAAAACTAGAATAAACACTGTTTTTCTTTTGTTAAACTGTAGGAATTCTCAGATTTTCTTTGTGTAGTAGTGACAATGCAAATACAGTTTAGTGATGCTTTTGGGCTGTCTGTAATTGAGACGACATAGCAATCAACAGGAAGAAAGGCTATAGGATGATTGAATGAAATAGGAACTCTGTACTTCAGCTGAGATACCTAAAGCAGCTTATCAAATATACTCTATTGTACTTTATGTTGTAGCTATATGTCTTCTGATAAATTAGAGAAAAGGTTTTCCATTTATCTCATTTACCCAGATTTCCAACCAGTCTACTTTTGTAGAATAGTTATTATTCTTTACTTTGTGATTTAAAATATTTTTTGATCAGAAATCAAAGGAAATAATTTTTCTGTTACTTTGCTGAAGAAATGCATACTTTATTGCTTACAATCTTCAGTTTTCAGTAATTATAGCGTCAACTATAATTAACTTCATATTACATAGATAAATCATAACAATGCCCTTTTATTTAATCCAACTCTTGATGGCCGTATCCATGCAATTCTTATGTCAGGATAATTGAAGTGGCTTACCATTAAAGTCTCCAGGAACTAGTTTAAATACTTGTAGATATTTTCTTAAAATGTTAAAAATAATTAAAAATTTCTAATTTAAATTTGAACAACCCAATAATTATTGACAAACCTACTCTAGAAGCTATGTCTAGTAAATGATATGCCAGGAGAATGTAATCTGGTTAATAAGAACCAGATTACATGTAATCTGTCATATATCAGATTAATCAAGAAAATGAAAATAAAACTGATGGTTTATTTATTTATTTATTTATTTATTGGTTCGATTTATATGCCACCCTTTTAGGGTGGCTTACAATGCGTTAAGCAATAGCCTTCATACTTTTGTATATACCTGCTTAGTAGGGCTTTCGGGGGCCCCCAAGCGGTGTTCTTTTTTATACAAAGTCAGCTTATTGCCCCCACAAACTGGGTCCTCATTTTACCTACCTTGAAAGGATGGAAGGCTGAGTCAACCTTGAGCCTGGTGCAGTAATTGCAGGCAGCTGGTGTTACTTAACAGTGCTTTAGTCTGCTGCACCACCAAGGCTCTTGACTTCTTGGTTCAACTTGACTTCATTGAGTCACAGTAATAAAAGGAGAAAGTGTAAAACTTGGTACAGACCTATCAGTAAATTTACAGAGCCTATCAACCCACTAATATTTTTTTTCTGATCTTCAAATTTACATTTTTTCAAAATTTAGGAGATTTTCAGTACAGATCACTTCCTTTAATCAAAATATGAATGCATATGTTACAAAATGTCTTCTAGAGTAACTTCAATCAGGACATGAAAGACATGCAGATCTTTCCAAGATGTTATTGAACAATAATATATTAATATCTAGGGGTTAATGTTTCATATACTATGCTGCTTTTCAACAATAGTGTGTTCCAAAATGAAGGATACATAAAGAAGACAATTATGAATACTTCTATTCATATAGTTTTCGTTAAAAAGAATTCCAAGATATATGGATATGGCAAGCTTAATAAATAAACATGAGTAATATGGGAATTCCAGCCAAACCAGACATTTCATTTACTTTATTAATGGTTTATTAGGGTTTCCTGGAATTAAAATAGCAACATGCCCAGTAAAATATGAATTCATACACACAAGCTGGATAATGCAATTAAGGGGCATCATAATAAATCTAACAAAGAAGAAAACGAGAAGAGGAATCAATTTTTGATTGTCAATATGCTTACAGAATTTTTCAACAAAACAGCTTATACAAAGCATTCTTCTACAATGAGAGCTAGGAGGTACAGTTGTTGTTCATAACATAATGGTTACAGGGAAATAATTATGGCAACATGCAGATACATAATAGTGAAACTATTTTCGCTAAATGCAGCTCAAAACAATTTCCAGATGATTTCTGCAGCAGATTGGGCATTCTCTTTTGTTTGGATATTATGGATGCTGTTGATTCATTATTGATATACATGGACTCAACGGACTACTTCTCAGAAAGGCAGGAGATAAAGTCACCACAGTAATTGCTCACAGATGTACCATTGCATCTGTATATTCTTTATTTGTTGCCCACTATATATTTGTGTGTGACAGTGGTTTTTCTTCCTAGTCATATTAAGTATTTACAGTTTGGTAAGAATTTGTATATTGTCGGAATGGGTATTTCTGAACTTCTTTTATAAGTTTAATATGGATCAGAGATTAATAGTTTTGTTTATATTCAGGCAGGCAAAATTACACTAATGGATTTTTTTTTTTGCATCAACTTAATTTAGAATCCATTAAAGTTTTCTTTCTTCATTCTGTTGTTTGTTTTGTTTTTTTTTGCAATTTTGTCAAGGTTGGCCCAGTAATCATTTTGATCATCTACTTTAGAAAGATATATAAAATCAAGTGGGGTTTTTTTGCAGCAAAAATGGACATATGAATGCTGATTTTTTTTTAAAAAAGCTATTCAAATGAAGTTTAAAAATAATGAAAGGGAGGAGTCCTTACTGATAGATGATTCCTTGAGTTGTTGTTTATATGCAGTGTTTCTGCAACAGATTCCTCCTGGTCTGCTTGTACTCATTGAAGTGTCTGAAGATAGCCTTCCATGTGATTACTTTTCTGGGCATAAGTAAAATGGTTTTTAATGAAATCCAATATACATGCAAAATTAATATTTATTTCTCTCTCTCCACAAAGATGGCTACAGTCTTAATGGGTTGCCTCCAGTAATGGTAGGCACAGCTCCCAAGAAGACAGGAAACAACCTACATAGAGAAGACCGACACTTCCTCTACTGTGGAATCAAAGCAATGGAATTGTCAGACAGTGACCGACCAGTTAGCTTCAGCTCAACATCTTCCTCAGCATCCTCCAGGGATAGCCACTGTTCCTGTGGTAGCAGAACAACCTTGGTTTCCAACAGTCATCTGGGTTTGTTCAATCAGGACAAGGAAGTGGGGGCCATAAAGTTGGAGCTGCACCCAACCCAACAGTTTCCCAGCAAAGAAGTAAGAAAAAATAACCCCATCAAGGAACAGCTCTTTGATGGAAATCTTGGAAGAAAGCCAAATATGCCACGAAAAGCTGAAACAAAGGAAAATAACAAAAACTGTGTCATGTCACTGATTGTTGAGTCTACAAGTCCAAAACTCCTGTATGTTGACAGAGTGGTCCAAGAAATTCTAGAGACTGAAAGAATGTACGTGCAGGATTTAAGAAGTATTGTGAAAGTAAGTGTGTTTTCCCCTCATTTAAGTTCAGCCACAGTGTAAAATGTATAAACTGAAATTTAACATAGAAAGAAAACTAGGATCAAGGTTTGCAATAAGTTGGCTGCTGTGGGAAGCACAGGCAGCATGAAATTGATACGTGTTCTTTGGTTATATTGAAACAGCATGGTTCTTATTTGCAGAGTTATCCTTCAAGACAGACAATATGCATTACTAATTAATAACTTAAAATACTTTTTGTTAAATAGTTCTTTTTCAGGTTATTCAGGTTTTGTTTATTTTATTGATCCCACAAAAATCTGATATTTTGTAAATTGTACACATAACAATGATTGTTGTTACTTTTAAAGTTAATCACCATCTACACAAGGCATAGTCAGTTAGCACTATTGAATTTGAAGATGATAAAGTTATTTTCTTTCTAACTGCAATCTCAAGAGACGTTGCCCACTGTATTATACTTTTTATGAGAAAACTCTTATTAGAACCAGGGAGAGAATATAATATTGAGCCTTCAATGTCTACAAGCTACAGTATGAAACACTATGATCCCTGAAATCATTTCCCTTCCCTTCCCTTCCCTTCCCTTCCCTTCCCTTCCCTTCCCTTCTCTTCCCTTCCCTTCTTGAAGTTATCCTTGTTAGTTATGCCAGATGTACATGAACCATATAAAGGTATTTTTTGGGAAATAAACTTTACTAACTTACTTTTTGCAAGTAGGCTGGTCTTAGAGCTTTCCTACTAAATCGGGATGGTAAAAGAAGCTTCTTGATTTTCTACTGTAACCAAGACCTTAGATCAGTGATGGCTAACCTTTTCTGGACTGAGTGCCCAAAGCGTGTGTGTGAGCATGAGAATGTGCGTGCGCACGCCTGAACCCCCAAAATGCAATGCGCATGTGGCCCCGTGCATGCGCCTCAAGCCATGCGCATGCGTGACACCCAAAGACCAGCTGGCCAGTAGGAGGCGCGCATGCATGCACAACAGAGCTGAGCTGGAGCGACGGCTTGCGTGCCCACAGAGTGGGCACTGCGTGCCACCTCTGGCATGTGTGCCATAGGTTTGCCATCATGGCCTTAGATCTTTAGAAGCTGAAAACCTAAGGTTGAATGGAAGTAAAAGTCAGGGATTAGTGGTACCTTACTTCTGTTTAGAAATAAATGGTATTTATTTCTAGTTCCTGGATGATAAAATGTTAAATTTGAGACTTCATATATTTCAAGATTTTAGAATATATCCCTGGTTCTATTAGTTCATGACTTCTAAACAATATTCTTGCAGGTGGGGATTATATATTTATTTATTGCTTTATTTATTGCAATTTTTTTGACCTGTTTAATGCGGACATACATTTTACACATAATCTGGAAATGTTATAATGTATGGCTTTGGGCAATTTTCTTTTTAAGTACATCACTAATCTGGAAAAGAAAATACTAGTCTGATGATGCACACAGAAGCAGACAGCGAGGCAAATCAGATTATCAGGATTTGATATACAAAGGCATGCTGAAAAAGAATTAATCTGTAGAAACAAGTCTTTTCCTGCATATCTGTATTAGGTATCTTAACTGCTGGTGTACAGTAAGATCCATACAGGAAAGAAGTTTAAATACCCTTAAACAAAACTGAAATAAAGAGATAAAGCAAGCAAAGCTACTGACATATTGTATAAATAAGGGAGCCATTTTAAATGTTTAATACTGCTGACATAATATTTAAATACCTTTATTCTCAATGAAAAAAATAACTGCTTATTAATAAAAGTATTCTTATGTATTTCAACAAACACGCCAGTGTTCATTTGAAAGCATAACTAGATGTAATCTTGGTCAAAGAGGGAAAAAAATTGAAATTATCATAATGCTAGAATTTATTTATAGAAAAATTTTATAATTTTGTACAAATTCCTGAACCCATGAAAATCTCTCAATTGCACGCCAGTTTAGTAGCAATAGATTTTTTAGAAAATATGTTTCAATATACATTTAAAAAGTAGTAAAATGGCATTAAAACACTTTCTAAATAGGAAGATTTTCTAACTATAACTGATTAAAAATCTTTTAAGCAGGTAAGATTCTAAAATAGATCCTGAAATTGTCACTTTTTTATTTTAGAGATCTTGTGTTTCAATATCATGGTAGATAGTCATTACTGTTCTGTGATATAAGTATCTATTAGTTAATTTTACTTTGGCTATTGGTTTTAAGTATTTATATTTTAATTGTTTATTTAATTGACTTCACATTATGTATTAGCTACGATTTTTGTCATTAATTAGCAGACATTTTATTTTAATAAGTAGTAACACTGCAATTGTAGCTCATATAGGTTGGGCACTTTGCTGTTTTTCTTGAAAATGTTTTATTACCAGACTGGGTAACATAATCACAAATAGTAGTTTTTCAGCAGATGTCTTTGGGGGGAAAAATTACTTCTTTTCTTTCTGGAAATTGAAAAAGGTGTTTCAGTTGTTGATATAAATAAATGGCCACTGTAATTGTAATTATTTTTGTTTACTGGATGTTAACACACTATGATTGTTCCTTTGGTTTTTGTCAATAGTTATGCTTTTAAGTTGTTTTGTTTTAAAACAAATAATTTAAAATAAATGGCTGATGGTACAGCGAAGGGATAGAGCCTATTGGAATAGCAACATGCAAAGAGAGGTTTTTAACCCTTTGCCCTGTCATGGTCCTAATTAAAATCACTGTTTACCCAAGAAAGTGCTGTTTACAATAGAAAAGATGGTCTGTTGTTGCCAATGGTAACTTTTCTTCCTTGTGAATAACAGCGAAGAAGAGTTTCCAATTAAAATTTTAGCGAAGAGAAGGGGTTAGATGCTTCCCTCTAGGACAGTTCCTATTTTGGGTCCTGCACATCACTGATACGCATTCATGCATGCAAACACAAAAGCAAACTACAAGACAAACACCACATCTAGATTTGTTGTGCAAAAAATATTAGTATCTTAGCTTTTCTTCTTAAAAAAAAAAAGCTTTCCTTTTGAAAATTTGGAAAACATATTGAAAGAAGTAGAACCATTAATATACAGTATGGCTATATACTGAACTATGGAGAAGCATTTAAATAATTAGTACTAAAAACCTAGTTGTGAGAAATGTCTCTAATAAGTCACAGCCAAAACTGAGAAAAAGTGAATGAAGTTTTATGACTGAATTGAGTTGGAGAAAGATGAGCTATGAAAAAGAACTCTGCAAATTATATTAAGCTCATCACTTACCAGCCCACTATTATAGGTGGCCACAAATATAGGTCCACAAAGGTTACCTCAGTTCTCCATAGTTTGTATTCAAAGATAGAAAAAATAATATGAAGGGAGAGTTGCAACAGGTTGATTAAATAGAAGGCTGTGTCCTAAGGGATTCAAAATTTAACTCATCTCCCTTCTCACCCGCACTGGACTTTGGACCCAAATCCAAAAATTAACTTTCTGTGCCTTTAACTGATCGGATACACGGAATCTGCAGTGAACTTCACAAATACTTTATATATTATTTATGAATCAATTATTTTTATCTCATACTTCTAATGAATTCCAATTCTAAAGTGTCAAAATCTCTTATACAGCTTGATGATGTTTCTAAGCTATCCCTATTTTAATTAGAGTTACAGGGTCTGTCAGTGCCACTGAGTTCCAAATTCCCCTAATATTTCTAAAGTAAAGTATGTTATTTCCTACTGAGGACTAGAAAACATTTTTAAATGCATATAATCATGCAATTTAAAGCTAGTATTTAGAATCCACCTGAATTAGAATAAAGTTGTTTAAAGCATTGATTTATATATATATATATAAATGTATACATTAATATTGATCATTTGTGGAAAATAAAACATCTACTAGAGCTAAATCATATTTTTCCTATGTTCAATCATGTCCAATCCTCAGAGACTGCCTGGACATGTCCCTGCAGTTTTCTTGGTAAGGTTTTTCAGAAGTAATTTGACATTACCTCCTTCCTAGGGCTGAAAGAGAACGGCTGGCCCAAGATACCCAGGTGGCTTTGTGCCTAAGGCAGAACCAGAACTCACAGTCTCCTGGTTTCTAGTCTGATGCCTTAACACCATGCTGGCTCTCTAGTAAATAATAAGATAAAGATTGGTTGATAAATAATGATTTTATCTGATAATTGAATACCACAGGCTACAAATTCTGTTCTACTTATCATTAATCTTTTATTTATATTCCCCTCACCCCAATCCACTCTTCTTTTTTTTCTTTTTTTTTTGTTCTGTTAACTGCTCTCTTTCGCTAATTGATTTCATTGGGCTGATTCTCGTGTATTCTGACCTGCACTATCAGTCATCTTTTTAGTCTTTTTTCTGTTATTAGGAAGCTATGTTTTTTGTTTTTTGTTTTGCTGAGGGGCATATTACAGGTATGAGAATGTTTACAAATTTGTCCAGAAAATTCCGTTCTCTTTATTTTGTAATTTTCTGTAGTCCAGTTTGTGTGCTTAAGTAGGAAATGGAACAACTGGGGAAGATATAATGCTTCAGGTTCAGTATACAGAGATTTTCCACCTCTTTCTTTGTCACTGATGCCAAATGGTTTGCAGACAGTTTTTAGGAAGATATATATAAAATATGTGGCTTTGTGCCTTTTTTTCCCAAGGTGTTAGCTGCACATCTACTAATGGACTTTAATAAATGAACCATGCCTTTTTGTGGCCAATATTATACATAGTCATTAGAACAAAGAGAAGTTTTGTGTCAGGATTCTTTTTGTTCTGTGACTTAAAAGCCCCATCTCCCTCAAAATATTATTCCTTTGTATATATGGGTCTATGTTTCTGTATATGTTTTCCAGCACTGAGGATAAATTTTTGCTCTGCCTTAGTTAATCCAGAAAATATTTTATAAATGTATCTCTCTGTTTCAGACTTCTGGCAATTGAAGTCCATGCATTTAAAGTTGCTGGGATTGAGAAAAACTCCATGATAGACAGCCATAGATCACACTGAACATTATGATAC